GTATACCGGAGGACTGGCAATCCTGGTATTATCCTTGCTTTATTGGTTGATAGATGTGCTTAATTCCAGGAAATTCTTTACTTTTTTCAAGGTTTTTGGAGTAAATCCATTATTTGCTTTTGCATTACATGTTATCTGGGTAAAAATAATAAGCGGGATTATCAGATGGAAACTTTCTGATGATGAAACTGCAAATTCTTACGGATGGTTGTACCACAATATTTTTCAACGGCTGGCAGGTGATTATAATGGATCTTTGCTGTTTGCTGTTACTCATATTATCTTTTTTTATTTAATTTTGTTAATTTTGTATAAAAAGAAAATATTTATAAAAATATAGCATTATAAATAAGATTGTTCAAATTATGAATTAATCAGGAAATAAATATAATTTTGCATCTCATTAAAAAATATAAAAAATGAACTTAGTTTTATTATTTAATCTCGGCGGACAGGAAATTCTTTTAATAGCATTGGTTGTCCTGTTATTATTTGGTGGACGGAAAATACCGGAATTGATGCGGGGACTTGGCAAAGGAAAGTTATTCAACATAAAACCAACAGTAAAAATAAGGAAAGTTCTTTCAACTATTTTATATAATGATTCAGCTGTCAGAACATAATTGAATCTGAAAAATGAAAAAGCAGTCGATACCCCGACAATAAAAAGAAAAAAAGGAAAAACAAGATCTGTGGGTGTACAACCATGCCATTCAGCATGTTCAAGCGGTGAATATATAAATTCCCAGGAGCCTGGTATATTTACCGTGATCATCAAAGCAATAGTTAGCCCCCTGAAAACATCAAGGGAGAGAAGTCTGGGTGATGCTGCTTTCATTTTTAATAATTGATCAGTATAAAATGCCTTTCTCAATCATTCTTGACATCACGATTTGCTGTATTTCTGATGTTCCCTCATAAATCTGTGTTATTTTAGCATCCCTCATCATTCGTTCGACATGATATTCGGAAACATACCCATATCCTCCATGTATCTGAACAGCTTCCACAGTATGCTTCATTGCCATCTCAGCAGCAAAATATTTTGCCATGGCACTTGCCATGATAAAATCCTGTTTCTGGTCTTTCAGCCATGCAGCCCTGTGAATCAATAATCTTGCAGCCTGAATGTCGGTTGCCATATCTGCCAGTTTAAATGCAATAGCCTGATGTTGAGCTATAGGTTTACCAAATGTTTCTCTCTCATGTGAATACTGAACAGCAAGTTCAAAGGCTCCCTGTGCTATTCCAAGTGCCTGGGCTGCAATTCCGATCCTTCCACCATTAAGAGTACTCATGGCAAAATTGAATCCAAATCCATCTTCCCCAATGCGATTCTCTTTCGGCACTTTTACGTTATTATACATAATGGAAGTGGTATCTGAGCCGCGGATACCCATTTTATCTTCCTTTTTACCAATAACAACTCCTTCCCATCCTGACTCAACAATCAACACATTAATTCCTTTGTGTTTTAATTCAGAATTAGTTTGTGCGATAACCAAATGAATACCAGAACTTTTACCGTTTG